CCAATATGATGTGCAGTACTATTTATTATAATAATGGGGAATCACAAGATTTTCCATGCATATAATGTGATGTGAGGGATATAATCCCATAGGGGGACCCCTCTGTATGCTTCCTACCCTTATTCTATTGAGGATCCATCATGTATATGTGAGTTATTGGAAGATTGGTATGATAGGATATATGTCATATATAGAGGTAGATATGATACCTAAAATTATGGGGAGGTCCCATATCTATGATGAACATCTATGAGATTAGAATGCCACTTGGATCATGTTTATCCATGAATTCCTGAGCAAGATATCAAGGGATCATTGTGTCTGATCAAATTTGAAATATGAAAACAGAAGAAAAGCAGTGTGATATCCTGATGTCACAATATACAACTGATGATCACATTGGGGCATCTTAAGCCTATATAACTAGCTACCTACTAGTACAATAACCTTCTGGATTCATACAGAAGTGGTGGAGATATTGCAGCATCAATGCATGTGATGAATTATCATATAATGATATAGGTAGACCAATAACAGTTCATTGTTAAGAAAATTGATCTTATCCCTCAGGTACCCTGAATAGCGCTTTAATCACCTATGCAAGTTGTCTACTTGATGAGATATTGCTGTATCAGGTATAGATCAGCTAATGATTGGCTCGTGCCAACACAATTATTCAGCTGGGACTATAAATCACTTAATGAAATTTGTTCATATGCTCAAAATACACAACTTTGGTTTTGTGACGATCTGTGACATTCTGATAATTGTACAGTCTTAAGGGGATTATTTATTATCATTTATTGTAGAATACACTTATATGATAGCTTCTTTATAGCATTACATATGAGTGTCACATATTCTGCATTCATAATTATCAACTGACAAAATTTCCTTTTTAGGAATTTGTTCCACACATGTCACACTATGTGACATTGTAACTAAGACAATAGGATCTGATCTTCTTACACAGTATACTTTAAAGTTTTTGCTTATATATGACTATTATTACCATTCATATCAAACTTGCTAATTTAGGAAACTAACTTAGATAGCAGTGGATTATTGCAGCATTAGCAGCGTAGAAGGGACTTAGCGCTCAAGAACTTGAGAACTTAGAGATGTTGCAGAATTATTGGGGTATTTATTGCAGCATAGGGCATTTGGGGTCATCCCTTCATATTAGAATGTACAGCCCAGCGGGCCGTTCATTCTAATATGAAAGGATAAGTGGAATTGGTAGGTGATATGGCGGAAATCCAGCGTGTCCGGACCTTCGCCGACATAGTACTGGTGCTACTCGCAGGGAATAGCGTCGTCCTGGAGTTGGGATCGATAACAGACGCAAGGAGAGCTCTAGGATTCCTGGAGCGCGAAATGCAATGGGTCTCCATCGACTACTTGGACCGAGAAGGGTTTGATGCTATCACGGGCTTCGTCACGGACACCTATAACCGGTTGGAATCCCGCCAGGTTAGGGAGAGAAGATTGCGTCGTGAAGCAGACCGGCAAGCTTCTCTTTTGAAAGTGACAACGACGGAAGCCTCTAATGTGCCAATTGCGTCCGGCTCGACACTACCCTCGGTGGACCCTCTTCTTCCGGTATCCACCACTGTTCCAGAAGGGCGCTCATTGCTCTTGTCTCATTCGAGTTCGCTCCATACAGCTGGTCCAGATACAGTTTCTTGCCATTCACCCCCGGCAGCCGTCCAGCCGGAGCCATTACTGCCTGACGGGGTCTCGGAACAAGTGCCACCTGCCCTGGGCAGCGAGTTCGCCCCTCAAGAGGAGGAGGCAGGCCAGTCAAACATCGAGGACGCGAGTCCTGCGGCGGACAGCATAACGCTCGCTACGAGAATGGGAGTGCGTTTGGAGGAGAGGATTCGCAAGAGATCGAAGCATAATCCGAGCAAGCTGCGGAGAGACGAGCGACGTCAAGTGGAGAGGGAGATACGACTAGGTCGAGGAGCTAACTTGGCCCCCTTCTCGCTAGGGTCTCACGAAATCACTCTCAGCATTGTGCCGCCAGCGATATCGGGGACGGCTTCAGTGATTCAAGATGAGGAGGAGCGGCTAGCGCCTGCCGACCAGACTTCATTCATGCTGGGAACACATACATTGACAACTCCAGGTGGTGGGAATGTAGAGGTTTTGCGGATTCCGTCAGACCTCGCTTCCCCTCTGGTTACAACGTCAGAACCCAGTATGGAGGAAGTATCCGACTTCCTCGACAGCGTAAATCACGAATCAACAAGCTCACCCAGGCTCGAACCCGCGGTCGCATCAGCGATGGACGTGCCCATGCCACCTGCTGGAGTTGCGGCAAACCAAATTATTGTCAACGGAGTCGTGACACAGCTGGACGCTCATCCATGGTTCGACGTGCCCTTCGGAGTCCCCACCAGCGTCCAGCCTTTGCCTCAAACTATGCAGATCACTGAAGAAACGGTTGACGAGGGCGTGGCGATGGACGTGGATGAAAGCGAGTCGCAACTCACGCTGGATGGTATCGCTGCTTCGGCGCCTTGGGCAGCGTCAGTGCTAGGCCGATCCCGGGACGAGAAGAACACATGAACGACTCTTTGTCGTGGGGGGCTCTGTGACGGGTACCGCCAGATATACGACTCAGAACCGTTCCAACGTTATCAGATATTAGCTATCACATGATCTCGAGTAGTCACAAGCAGTCACTAGTCTTGTAACAGTAAACGTGACCAGTGTCACGCAGCAGCAATCTTAACCAAGTCCTTCTTCCTCTTGTGTCTCGTCTTCCTCTTGCCTCTTCCTCTTCTCGCGGCCCCGTCCCGACTGCCTGAGTACGCGCACCTGCTCCCTCCCGCCGTAGGTTACGGGTCAGCTCGCGGACAACCATTGGATTCCAATGGCTGTCTGACTTATCATCAACCTCTTTTCTCTTCCCTTCCGCCCAGCGTAAGCCCCTCGAACCACAGCGTCACACGGAGAGTCCGAAGCAAAACCGAGTGGCTATCACAACACTATATCGGAGTGAGCGACTACACGTCTTGCAGGCCGAAAGCAAGTCTGAATAAATACATGAACTCCAACGGATACGTTCGGAGAAGCTGAAGGTGATAAAGGCTTAGAACGAGGAGGGAGTCGGATGAGAGCGGAGAGCGAGGCAAGAAACGTTAATAACGAAACTGAAGTACAGGAGTGTAGAGTATGAGTATTTATACTAAGTGGTAAACATAAGGCATATGACCTTGCAGGGAGATCCGATGTGGTCCGCAGGATCTCCCTGCGGGTTAAGTACAAAGGCATAGTAAGTAAGGGGAACAAGAAGACATACACGAGGCAAAGGAAACAAGGCGAACGCCTAACGGATATAAGTAAACAAACCAAAGACCAAATGGGTAAAGATCCAAGTTGATGGGCGGAGAGTCCGAACAGGTCCGATAGAGTCTGCGTGCAGATTAACTGTTTGAAGGGAAATGCTCAGATACCTTCATCGCGTAAAAACCCTGTTGCGCTCCAAGGAGAACCCTCGGAGCGTCCGAAGATGCACGGGATATAACACCACCTGCACATACTGCAGTCACACTTCGAGCATACAATATACTAGCCTTATTGCATGACATGCTATGCACACTGGCCAAAAGGGCATCTTTATCTAGCATTAGTCAATTAAAGCTCCCAAATGTTTCAGCATTGCTGTCTCATGCTGAGAAACCACTTGAAGATATGCAGAATGAAGGTGCTGTAAGAGCAATAGTCAGGATGAATGCTTTCGTTCTAGGGCTTTGTTTTTATAGGTGGAATAAAGGAAAGTCTGTTCCAAGACAGCTTCAACAAAAGGGCCCAGAAGATTTTCCTCAACTGGAGGCAGATATTCGGGAAATTGGCTTTGACTCTCTAGATAACTCTCCAGAGGAAAATCAACAACTGCTCAAAAAGATGATCAATTGGCAAGTTGTATTTGGTTAGTTTTAGGCATCCACTCATGGCTATAATAAAGGTCACCAGAGGCTCATTATGAGATGCTAACAGGATACAAGCCTAGGCAAACTGCCAATGAGCTTGGTCTTGAAAATCATATTCAAACACTTCAGACACAAATTACTGCAATGCAAGAGCAATCAATATCAAGGCTTGCAACATCAATATTAACAGAGGCAAAATGAAGCTGACACTACTATGAAAGCTCTTGAGACTAGCAAAGAGGACTGGCGAAGTCAATATTTTCAAGCAGAATTAAAAATGTGGGTTTAATTATTTAGATAGTCTCTTCTTTACTAACAGCTGTGGTAGCCAGCAAATGGAGATCAATCAGCAAGCCTCTGAGGAGAGAAAGTCATTTATACTTTTTTTAGAAAAGCCGTGCTTTACAGGAAGAAAACTCTGACTATAAAAGTAAAGCATTATAGAAACACATCAGGCAGACTATGAAAAAATCTGAGAGCGAAAACCACAGACCGAGCTTGCTTGACGCCGCTTCAACCAGATTACAATTATCAGTGTTGGGATCTGGAGTGCAAGGGACGCCATAATTATGCTGAGGCGCGAAGACAGTCCCTTCATTAACCGCCGCTGGCTTAGCACAGTTGTCAGTGTAAATCACAGCCGTCTTGGAACAATTCAAGTGCCAAAATCCGAGCCTCGCCGATTCAGTATGCTCCCAATGCTGGCTATACGTTGGCTGAGAGTAGACGATAGGTGGAAAGCCAGGCGCCGCTGATGCCGACATGTGCTGAGACCTCACCCCATATGGTGGATTCTATGCAAAAGAAGTGGGCAGCAGGGCTCTAATGCAAAAGATGTGGGCAGTTTATGCAAAAGATGTTTATTGCCTCATACGGCCATAAAAGACAGACCTATTGATGCTATCAATAGGTTTGGGGTTTCCCATCAGTCGATCACTCGGTTTTATTCAGCCATCACTAGATCAAACCTGCCTTACACTGCCGAAGCCCTACATCATTCGACAAAAGGACCGTAAAAATTGGCAAAAAAAAGACTAAAAAATATATTTGTGCACGTGACTACCAATCGTCGATTTCTCCCATTAGCAGCAGCTCCTCATCACTGAAATTACCCTCGTCTGCGTCAAAATCGTCCCGCTCGATAGTGCCATCAATATCCAACTCCTCCTCCGAAGAACTTCCCACCGAGGTCAGTTGTTGCGACACGATATCGGCAACAGAGAGATGATGTCCTTTCCGACGCATGCCTGTCTTGAGCTTAGGCTCTGTCCGCACTATCTCAGCCCGCCACGCTAAAGCCCGGTACATGTCGACATGCTGGACGGCATATGCGATCATGCCTTCAGCATCGTCTAATGTGATAGCACCGAGCGGAACGGCTTGGCCCCTCAGAGGCCACAATCGTTCCTCGTGAGCAAATGATTCGGGCAGCCGGCGCCACTCTTCTCGCAAAAGCGCGACCTCTTCATTCCAGCGTCGTACTCGGGCATAAGCCTTGGCCCATTCAATGTGCAGCGCTAAAACTGTGTGAGCAGCAGATAATAATATCAATATCAGCCTCACCTTCTTCCATCTCGACATCTGACCCTGTCATTCCAGCCAGTGTCCATATCCATGACACAACCCTTCGGCTTTTGCCAGCGCGAACCGCTGTCCCTTTTGGCGCCGGCATCTTCTTGTTGGCAGATTTCTTTCCGCCCAAAGTCGCAGACAATGTCAAGTCGATGTCGTCCTCAGCGTTGTCGTCAGTTTGAACTTGATGTATGTTGAGCGGAGTAATTCCAGCTTCACGAAGCTCTCGTTCTTCTCGTGCACGACGTATTTCAGCTTTCTGGCCTCTCATGTTCTTCTTCGCCAGCTCGTCGGGGTCTTCCAGGCATCGGATGTCCTCCTTGCAAAGTCTTCTCCAGCCCACGTTCGCTTCAATACCATCGTGGAGGAGAACCAGTGCTAACCACGCTGCCTGATACTTCTTCGAATGAAGCAGTACCTGGTTCTCATTTTCGCGCCACCAGCGACCGCGAGCACGTATTCATCGACTGATTTCGCGAGTGGTTTGTCTTGTAGAGAAGGAGACGGTACTTGACGAGTAACTGGTTTCGCAAGCCTGCCAGGGCCGCGCGGCATTGAGCGTCTCGCATGGATTTCTCGATTTCGACCAATCCGTCATGACAGCCTCCATTTCCTCGTTGCGATGCCGTCAAGGCGGAAGGTGGCAACAGAGGAACATCCTCTGGTAGAGCAGTTTCCGATACTTCGAGGTCCTTGAGGTGTTGTAAGGCCACAGGCATATAAGTGGCTTGCAGTTGGCGAATCTTCGAAATGCGTTTATTGAGACCTCGTCGAAGGCGACGAAGATTAATTTTCATCGTTGTCGATTTGGCCTTTTTCAGCTCTGCCAAACCTGCTACTCGACGCCTGGAAAGGGATTAGAACGGGGGGGGTGTTGCGGAGAAAAGCAGGACTTACTGCTCGCCTTCAAGCTCCAGCAAATCAGCCATAAAGCTGACTGGGCTGATCTCATGGATGCGTAGCTTGCCCGCCAAAGATCTGGCATCTTCTGCCATCTCCAACATCTCGCGAACCTTGACTTCACTTAAGCCTACAACCAGTCAGTCAGAAATAGAGAACGGCATCATGAAATGACTGACCATCGACTTTTCCTTCGTAGGGATTAGGTTTTGTACCATCCTTCTCGTAGTCATCCACCATAGCTTTCCATTGTGGAACACGCTCCGCCTGGTTGAGCGAGAATTCTTCGAAAGCGGCCTGCTGAACACTCTGCTCGTGTAACGCTGCATCGAGGCGCCCGTCGAAGAAGGGGTGCTATTAAAGGGAGATAAGTTGACAATTAGTGTGGTAAAATAATCTCACAAACCTAGTCCCAAGAGCTTGGACCAGTTCCAGAACGACCAATGATCGTTGAGTAAGTCGGACCTTGCACCAGGCCCACTAACTTGCGTACTTGCAGTGAGGCCTCCAATCATGCTCCAGGGTCGTTCAATTCCCTCGCCATCCGTCTGCCCACCACCAATTGTGTAGTTGAAGGAATAAAGAAGTTGACAAGCGGTTGTGTGTCTGAGGATGTGAAGTTTTGGGACCACGAAGACGAAAAGCTTCATGAAAACTTCAAATACGAGAAGCAGACGGAGCATCGGGGGTAGCTTTCGAAGGCGTTCGAAGAGATTCTTCCACCATTGACATGCAATGTCATAAGAGACGAAGCTTTCGAAGTAACGGGTGCAGGTGGCGAATTATCGAGCCAAAGATATAGTCCATGTTACCGTAGCTTAAATATGGTCAGTCAGTCAATCAAAGTGACGCAAAGTAAGAGTGCGCACCGTTCTCCTGCTTGTAGGTCGCCAACGCCTGAGGGCTGTACGAATTCGTGCCGGGCGCAAACCCCCATGCCGACTCCGGTTGCGCTATACCCCCGGGAGAACTTGGTATTGGCATAATCAAGAGCAGCCGTTTGAAACCAGTACAAGTGCTGATCTAAAAATAATTTGAGTCTCGACAGGCTGTAGACAAAAAAGAAATGACATACTTCTTGCTGGTCGCCAACCTGAAGCAGATACTCTTTGTATGGCCCCCACTCGACCATATACGCCCATCCGTCGCCGAGCGCTGGGTCTCTGATTTCGTTTGAGAAAGCGTGGCGCTTAAGACGGAAACAAGCATCCATGGCGAGGAAGAAGACATAAAGACCGCTAAAATGTTTTGTTAGCGCCAAAGAAAGCTAAATGAATTTGAAATGACTCACGCTTGCGACGGAGGAGCATTTTGTCAGTCATCAGGTAAATTAACTCCAGGACGCGGACAAGCAGGGCAGCGAACAGCCAATTCTCCTGGCGTTGTCCCCAACATGCCCCTTGAGTCATAGCCACGACCTGCGCGTTTGAGAGAGAGTAGATGTCGGTATTCGCGTGCGATGCGAAGAAAGACTTGATAACGGTCCGGGGGTTTAACACCCATAGCATTGGTTTCGGTCTCCAATGAGCGATAGAAGTCCCACCCCGTGATCTTCCCATGTAGCGTCAGCAAATGATAGCGCTTCGAGACATTGGATGGTTGTGCAGGTTTGTGGGGCGTCAGTCGTAGCAGGGTAGAAGCCTGCACGGAGAAGTTGTATATGATAGGTGTCGTTGGACCAGCGACAGCCACAGTAGTCAACAGAAACTTGATGAATTCCATTGTGGTGCAAGATGACGAAGTCTTCTCGGGTGGGAATAGGTCGATCACAAGTTTTCGTGGGCAGGGTGGCCGACTTGAATTCGAAGGCCCAAAGCCTTGAGTGAGGATGGAACAAAACGGGCCGTATTCCAAGACTAGATAAAGAGCCCGAGTCAGTTTGTGGGTATGCGCAAAAACAAGTCTTGACATACCTCTATCGCGTGAAGAGGATTGTGGATGTGGACGTCGACGCAACAACGTTGACACCACATTCCTCTGCCAAAACAGCTTTTGCAGCGATACAGCGGTTCGGATTCTCCGCAACTAAGGCATTTCTCGTTGGAATTGCCCCTCCCATGGTGCCAGAGTAGAATCCTCAGATACTCGTCACGGTGGTGAAGCATCCATTTATGGAGAGCGGGGTCCTGAAGATAGATATTAAAGTCAGTTTACATCACGAAAAAAGATTGGGAACGCACCGCGGGCCGCAAGACTCGAGGCAGCTTTGAATTCTCCTCCTCTCCCGCCTCTGCTGGGTCTTCGGTCCAGTCATCATCTCCACTCCCCATGAGATATGCATCCGCGCTGATGTCCAATACCGAAAGCAGCACTGCTTGAGGGTCCATAGACATACTCGCTGTTCCAATAAGTAAGCACCAATCATGTCTGTATATAGTCCCCTGTTGCTCTATAGATTTCATACTTTAGTGATGGCTACCTGGACAAATTCTGCATTCTTCCTCAAATTTTGGACTTATCTAGACAAGGATCTGTTCTCTTAGAAACAAAAGATTCAAACTGGAGAAGAATGTATGCAATTCTAAGATTCTGCTACAGTAACACCACCTAAGGGTATGAAATTCAGCTCATGGATTCCCCTAGAAAGAAGATTCCTAGACATAAAATTTTGTTTTGTAGACATTCTTTGTTTGGTTGAGAAACACAAATTAATGTCCTGAGTTATGCAGAGGCAAGCAGTAATATAGCCGAAATCTGCAACTTTTATAGACTACATCCCTGAAAGAATGTTATATAGCTTAGGAGCCAATACTTGAAATTGGCTAAAATGATAGACCAAGGTTGAAGATTGATGTAGGTAGATGCCATCAAAAATTCTGTCTGATTGCATCATCATAACACACAGAATAATATCATTGGTGCTTACTTATGGGAACAGTGAGTACGAAGGCGTTTCAGAGGCGATGGTGGTGCAATCGTAACCGGTTGGGAGAAAGTCCGCCGACTGTCCCCGGAAACCCGCTCTATTGCTCCATCGACGGGGACATTGAAGGTGGAGGGCCAGAGTAGATGGGAATGACATTGACGTTGTCATTTGGGGAGGGGGACCGGCCGCGTTTGGCTTGCTGCCTGCGCTAAGACATGGCAGTCAACAAAAGGCAGATGGTCACGTGCAATCACACACGCGTCAGGCTTGCACACGGAATTCAGATTCTGAAGCTAATGGGACATGACAGAGTAGTAAGACGAGTGATATATAGCAAGAAGATAGCTAGTGGTTGCCTTTAAGAATCATTCCTCCAACAAATATTGGCAAAAGTAGAGACGCGCTGCAGTACGAGCGTGCCAGCGCCAGTTGCACATGAAAAGAGTATGCTCCCTCGGATATTCTTCAGGGTTGTACCTTTCCACCCATTGGAAATGTGTGCACCAACGGCACATGGCAGCTTCGTATACGGAGACCTGGTGGGCATGAGCAACATCCCTTTCTTGACATCATAGACCAAACCTGGTGAGCACGAGCAGCCTTGCTCTTTGGCGGCACCAGCTTGAGGTGCTGACGGAGTGTCTTTTCGGCCCGAAGCTCGGAATTTCGATAGTACCCATGGAGGGCCACTTCAAGACGATGAGTTTCTTGCTCGTATTCCCTCGTGAAGCGCTTGACATTTTCATCCGTTGTTTCAGGAGCATTGTGCCAGAGAGGGAACGAGACCCAGCCGTGGATATCACTAGTCTCCAAATCGAAGTCCCGGTCGAAATAATGCATGAATCCCTTCTCGTCATGGTAAACCTCAAAGTGGGCATGGTCGAGGAGGAGCGCAGGCGGTAGAGGAAGTCCCAGGGGCTTGGCCACCTTTCGCGAATGACAATGACTGTCATATGCTTGAGAAACAAGAGCTCCCCTGAAGAATAAGATGAAGTCAATCTCAAATGGTCGATAATATTACTCACCTGGTACTTGACCGATACTTTTGTTGACGCAATCGGTGGGCTTCCTTCCTTTCAGCATCAGAGTGGTATTTGGTAGGCGCCATTGAACGAGCTCAGATGGGATCCACGAGCTTTTGTTGCGTGGTCCCTAGGTCGCGTTCGTGGTCAAGACAAACAACAGGGCAGAGGCAAAAGGGAGTAGTCACACGTAACGACACCAAATATCGGTACGAGTATATTCAAGCAACAATCTAAGAACACAAAGGGAGTCTTCTGAGTCTGAGGTCAACGTAGATTGGATGCTAGACCTGCAAGACAAGTTAGAGAGGGAGAAAGAACAAAGTGCAAAGATACCTTGAGGTGACAACGCTCTGTGATGAAAAGTCGAGAAATGGCAACTGATATCGTAACTGGAAGTGGTTTCACTCGGAAATGCCATTGAGTAGTCATGCATTCGAGTAATTTCAGTATGAGTTTCGCCTTTCTGGAGACTGCTGGAAAGCATAGAGTAAGCGGGCCGGGGAATGATGGAGGAAGTTGGTCGAGAAATAAAGCACCTGTCTCCAGACCTAGTGGCGGCAAGAGGCTGTCGATAGCCATTATGGACTTGCATATGATGCGGAGATTGTGTTGCGGCAAGTATAGGCATCGATGTAAGATGTGGTAGATGATAAGTGTGTGAAGGAGTGACGATCCCATCTAGTACTTTACCCCACATGGGTTGGAATTCGTTGTATCGCAAAACCGCTGTTATCTTGAGCACACACAACATATATATATTTTGAAAGGGGCACACATATCTAGTATAGGTGAGGTCTTTCTAGATTTAAATATCATCTCTAGGTAATTCAAGCTGGATCGCGACATTTCCGTGACATCAGCTTGGGGTCATATCTCCCATTCGGAAACCAAATCTTCATTCGCTTTTGACATTATCGCAAGCGGGCACGCATGTAAAACAAAAGAGAGATTTTTTCTCATTTAAATTGTGTTTACAGAATATTTAAACTGAAAACCTGCATTTCCGTGACATCAGCTTTGGGTCACCTTGACCACCCTGCACGGGCTGCACCCCGAAACTGGTATTTTCACATAATCAGAGGCGGGCAGCCACTAGGCAACTAATTGGACACTTGAAAATGTATGGCGTGTCGTAGGCAAGACACAGGCCATGAAAGTGAGAGCTTTGTCATACTGATGACACACCACTTGGAGAGCGAGCGAGCGAACTAAATTTCTCATAAATCAGTGTAGATTCAAGAAGGTTATTAATTGTTACATTTACGGCGACACAGAGTAAGCAAAAAAGGTAGCAAGATGAAGTAGGTACATGGGAAACGAGGTAGGTCAAGTTTACCATGAAAAAGGGCTGGCCGTTGTGTTGCGCAGCAGCCAGTCTTCATGCTCAGATGCATCGTCCTCGAGTGATTGCAGCAAATCGCGCTGCTCGTCGATGGCATCCATAGCCCGTCGCAGGACAAGCTCAGCTTCCAAGTCCTCCTCCTCCACCCACAGCCGCCCAAGTTCGCGTCGCCTGTTCCAGAGCTGAGAGCGATGGGCGTGGGCAAGTTTTTGAGCCCCGCCGCAGGCTAAGCAAGGTTTGTCGCTTGTCTACATTACAGAGTCAAGTCAGCTTCAGTGAAGTTTCCAGCGGTAACAACACACCTTGATAACTAAGGCATTCGATATACGCTTGATATCTTGCAGCAGCGGCTGGGCTGGAGAACAACTTGTTCTGGGTCTTGAGCGGCACGTCGGCTGCCAGCAGGGGACCCATTTTGTTAGTCGCGGGCGAGAGGTTGAGTTTCGGTGGCAGCGGGGCTTCCGCGACGTCGGCTTTGCACGCCAGATTGTGGTTGTGGCGATATTGATTGTACTTGTGAAGCCCTGACGAGGTCAGTTCTTCAGATCGTTCACAAAAGAAAAGACTGACCAAATGTTCTCAATCGCTTCTCCGTCAAGATGGGAGAAAGATTGGTTCGCCAGGAAGACTGATGTCTGGTGCGCTTGGGAGTGGAGGCGAGGGATGGTGGAGAAGAGGGCACGCTGACGGCGCGTGAGGCGGCCAGACCTTTCAGAATGTTAGAGATGGCCCCAAAACTCTGAATGAAACGCTTCATACCGGAGGAAAGCTGCGAGGGCGTCCACAACGTCGTTGTCATCAGAGCCATTGCTGGGCATAGAGGGGGGGGAAAAGAAAGTGTGCTCGTCACATCGTCGTCTTCTGGGCGTGTTACTTATTAGCCTCAACTCGAGCCTTCTGAAGGGGCTTGTGCGGCTGGAAGCTTGCTTGGCTTGCGGCTTTGGGCGGCTGGTTATTCGGCGAGATGAGTGCTGAAGCGAGTAGAAAGTCACATATGTCACAACTTTTGATTTGAGCCTCGTGCTGGGAAGCGAGAGGAAGAAGCGAAAAGAAAATTGTCCCGCTACACTACTACACAGACAGCTACTCAAAACAACACCAGCCCAACATATCGTACGCTCCTGGCGGCACTGGAATCCCGAAGGGGCCGCCGTTGGCCCACCTGAGGACGAATGAGATATGACAATGGTAGAGATAAGATATACGTACTGGCGCACAAAAAGGTCGATGAGGGCAATATCCGCCTCCTCGACATTTTGAGCTGGGGCCGCATGCAAGTCGCAAGGCAGCTCGAGTCCAGAGAACGGCACAACGGGGATGTTGAGATGCTTGATCACGATTACATTGCCCTCGACGGGATAGAAAGGTTTGGGGAGGTCGAAGAGTTTTGCGATGGCCTCGTTAGCTGTCTCGTCCTCCAGTCTGTCGTCCGGTCGGTCGTGTTTGCAGCGATAGATGATCGTGAAGCATTTATCTAGCTTTTTCGCGCAAAGAGTCGTCCAACAGTGGGGGCAATCACCGCATTGCAGGGGAGTCGACTCCCAAACAGCATTGAAGGTCCCAAAAACCTGGCCCAGCGTCGTTGTTCCATTGCATTCGACGATGGGGAAGTTTTGCAATCCGCTTTTCCCATCGACCGCGTAGTAGCGCACAGTGAGGGTGCGATGAGCCTGAAAAACATGTCAGCGTCTTGAAAGAGATGGGGTGGTTGAGCTCACTGGTCGGCCAGCTTGAGAAGTGGTCGGCGCAGAGGCTGGCGTTGCAGCGGGGGCAGCAGCAGGGGCAGCAGAAGAAGGGGCAGCAGAAGCAGACATCGTGGTCGAGAGGAAGATTCTGGGTTGTGACACATGCGCGAATGCCAATTACGTCGAAGAAATCTTAAAGGAAAAAACTGGGCAGGAGGAAAGTAAGGTCGCGTGGAGCGCGGAGGAAGCGAAGCTCTGGAAATTCGGGTCAGGCCATTTTACCCTCGACCAGAATGACACTTACCGCGTCAGCTTCGACGAGCACGGCTGGCGAGCAACGCGAGCCTGAGGAGGACCGCCAGGATGTCGACATCGACGACTCACAGTCTGAGGAAGATGGGCAAGTGTCGAAGAG